CCAGCCAGGGTACATTCCTGGGTTGCAGGCCATAACCCCCAGCAACCGCACAATGATGTTTCTCTCTCTCTCTATCTCCCTCCCTTCCCTCTCTAAAAAAAAAATAAATAAATAAATAAAAACAGTCACTAAGATCGTCCATATTGTGGGCTGTAGCAGAAACTCTGCCAAATGTAAAACAATGTTCTGTCTTTAATAAAAGTAAATTACGAACCAGTGACAGAAAGATGTGGTAATACTCAAATATTAGGAAATTAAACAGCACACTTCTAAGTAACCCAAAGAGGAAGTTTCCAAGAAAGCTAGAAAATATTTTCCATTTAAAAAGAAAACACAGCAGCAGCTGGTTTGGGGTAAAGTGCAGGGGGGAGGGCCTGACTACCCAGGAGCAGCACGAGGGAATTTAAGGGGAAGATAATGGAATTTTTCTGTGTCTTGATGATTATGGTGGTTGTTAGATAACTGTGTTTATCAAAACCTAGAACTATTAACCAAAGAAGAAATTTACTGTGTGTTAAATTTAAAAAATAAATATTTAAAAAAACTTAAGTGTCTTTAAATGGAATACAGTTTTTTTTTCTTGGAAATGATGTGTTTGGATGAGCTACCTGTCACAAGGCTAGTGAGTAATAAAAGAAGGAAGTGTCAGTAATTTTTAGTCAGATGCTGGCATGATTCACAAGTAATCACTTATCTGGATTGGATCTTCAAAGGAGTAAGAACATCTCTGCATAGAAATTTTGATTTAAAAATCATGGCTGATGTGGAAGAACACAGAGCGCAAAATTAACATGATCTGTATCATTTTAGAGTCAAATATAAGTGCACTTCTTGAAGAAAATTGTGCTCATTGAAAATATCTATTGTTTAACATTAGTTGAATTGAAAAAAGTGAATTTTGCAAACAACAGCTGTCAAGTAAAGAAAGGCATTTGCACCCTGTGAGAAAAGGATAAAGTGGTAACGGTTTTGGAGTAAAGTCTTCAGATGTTTAACTTCTATGAATAATGTTTGTAGTTTTCAGACTATAAATTTAATACTTCTTTTAAGTTTACTCCCAAGTATTTTAATTTTTGATGTTACTGTAAATGGAATTTTTTGCTTAATTTCAGTTTTCCATTTTTTCATTGCCAATGTCTAGAAATGCAGTTGGCATTTCTGTATGGGTCTTATATCTTGTAATGGTCTTACTAGCTCATTTATTTCAGTAATTTTTTGATGGATTGCTTAGGGTTAATTTCCTTTTTTAATATAAAAGAGCATGTTGGCAAATAGAGGTAGATTTTCTTCTTTCTTTCTGATCTGGAGACCTCTTATTTCACTTTGCACCCTAATTGCCCTGGCCAGAACCTCAGTACAATATTGAACAAAGTGGGAAGAACAAGCATCCTTGTCTTGTTCCTGATACTGGAGTTAGGGCTTCCAGTCTTTCCTTTTAAATGTATGTTATTGATTATGCTATTACAATTGTCCCATTTCCCCCTTTTTATTCCTCTCTGCCCTGCACACCCCCTCCCACCCACATTGCAACCCCCTACCCTTAGTTCATGTCCATGGGTCGTACATATAGGTTCTTTGGCTTCTCCATTTCCTATACTGTGCCTAACCTCCCCCTGTCTATTTTGTACCCAGTCTTTTCTCTTTCATTGTAATTTAGCAGTGGGGTTTTTGCAGATGTGCTTATCAGGTTGAAGTTCCCTCTGTTCCAAGCGGCGAGTAAGTTGCACCTTACCCTGCCTCTTGCTCCACCCAGGCCCGCGTGGACTGGACGGTGCCCGCCTGCACGGGCAGGGCCGTCTTCTTCACTCAGCGCCCGGGTTCACATGCAGGTCCCTCCCCAGACACCCTCACAGACACACCCAGAAACGGTGTTTCACCAGCTCCGGTCATCCGCTAGCCCGGTCCGCTGGGCACAGAAAAGGAACCATCACATATACCAGCCGAGGCAGCTGCAGTTTAAAGCGAGACGAGGATTAATGGTCTCTGCACCGTCCGTGCCTCTTTTCTCCTGCAGCCCCCCGTTCCTGAGCTGCAGCTGAGCTTCTCAGGACGGGACATCACGAAAGAGCAGGGCATCCCAATAACCCGGGACTCTGCATTGCTCTGCTTTAAATGACACGCGTATGTCATGAGAACGAGACTTCTGTGGTCTCTTCCCGTGCCTGCTGAAATTCCAGGGACTTCATGCTCCAAAGAAAAGTATTCCTTGGTCCTAGTTTTTGTAGTTACAGTCTACAGAAAACAATCATTGAACTTCCCCTGGAAAGGCATAACTGTGACTTCTAGATAAACACCGAACCTGTTACGGGGAAGTTTGGGTTTCAGTCACTGTAGTTGTTCACCAGCTGCTTTCAGAGCTGGCCGCAGCTGGGCTTGGTGTGTGTATCTGTGTATGGGAGGGGGGGAGTGACGTTTTCCAGAGTACTGTAAAATAAACCTAGTTTAGTATTTAAAAAAATTTTAGACTTCTTTTCACATTTTAATAACTCTGAAATCAGCATTTTAGCATCAATGCTATATCGTGTCTTAATAAGCAGGGTTTTTTTTTCTTTCCTGTGGCACATAAAATAATGATATATCTTAAAATTGATGGTGTGTGGTGGTTAAGTTTATATGTCAACCCGCCTGGGCCAGGGGGTGCCTAGATCCTTAGTCAGACCTCATTCTGGGTGTTGTCTGGGAAGGCGTTTCTGGGTGAGGGTAACATTCACATTGGTAGATGCAGTAAAGAAGATTGCTTTCCCTAACGTGAGCGGGTCTCTTCCAGGACAGAACAAAAGGGCTAAGAGGGAAAGCTTGATCTGAGACATTAATCTTTTCCCGCTTTCTGACTTGGAGCAAAGCATTGGTTCTTCTTGGACCTCAGGCCTGCTGGCTACCTTCTGGGCTGGAGTTACAGATCGGCTCTCCTGAGCCCCTAGCTTGCCGCCTGCAGGTCTGGGGTTTCTCAGTCTCCATCATTACATGAGTGTGTATCTATGGAGAGACAGAGAGAGATACATACACATACTATTGGTTCTGTTCCTCTGGAGAACCCCAGTACAGATGGGGTTCTAAATCTGGTAAAATGTTGTAATTGTATCCTCAGTTCTTTCTACTCAGAAGTCATGGTGGTTCTGGGGAGTGATCACACCAAACACGGTCACGGGAGGTGATCTTTAAGTGAGAAGACGCTACCCTTCTATACCAGGGCAGCATTCCAAAATATCGCCAGTAAAGTCTGATTCCAGGAGTGCTGATTCTCTGCGCAACAAGACGTAGTCTGATGATCAGTGCGGTTTCCTGGGTGGTAATGTCTGAGCGAAGGACAGCGGCCTTCAAGTGTGCGTTTCCATGCAGTTTGTGGCTAAGGTCAGGAAGCATCACATCCGGAATAAAAATTAATGAGTCGATCCCAAGAGGTCTGCCAGCCAATAATTGACTTGTATTGAGATAAGGCCACGGGGTTCCTTACATCCAGTAAAGGGTCTAGGCCTGCCCCCGGGAAGGATGTCCTCAGTATAAAAAAGTAACAAGACCAGCATAAGCTACGGTTGTAGGGAAGACGACTTAGCTTCGGTGAGAAAGGATCAAATGGCAGGGTATTTCAGCGGCTGCTGTGAATTACTAGAGGCTGGAGGCTGAGGATTAGTGCTTACCCTGCGCTGTCTACGGGAGTGAGAGACGCAATAACCTGGTGGGTCTGAGTGCTCTCGTTCCTAGAAAAGCAGACGGGAGGAGAGTTGACTTTGGGCGGTGAGCACATGGTATAATGTGCAGATGAGGCACTGGAGCATTGTACACTTGAAACCTGTGTGATTTTATTAGCCAGTGTCACCCCAATACATGTAATTAAAAAATTAAAAAAAGAAAAGCAGACCCGATGAAGTCAATGAGTGCCCCATCACGCCTGTCGCCCACCCTCTGTGCTGAGCTTAGATTTAGTGCCGACCGGTTAGCCTCCCGATCACATGCGTCCTTGATCGGAGGCTGGGGAGCTTCAGGAGGCGCACCACCAGTCTGTTAGCGTGTAATAAACTGCCATCTCGGGTGTCTCAGCCACCTGGTCTATGTGACTCAGTCCCCAAGGGCTCATCATCACGTGCCTGTACCTGAGCCCCCTGGGGCTCTGCGCAAATCCCCTGCCGCTTTCTCCCCGCCGTCCCCGGCACAGAGCAGTCCCATGAGAGACACATGTCCCTAAAGGGCAGTGGCATTCCAGAGAAAGAAAAAATAAAGCTGACTGAGGAGACTGGGAAGGCTGACGCAGGGGTAGGCAGGGATGGACATTTCGGACGGAGCAGATCCGGCCAGAGCAGGAGCCCAGCAGCAGGAATGCAGCTGGCGAGTTTGGTTTGACGGGAACGCAGGTTGTGTGAGAGGACTCGGTGAGGGTGTGCGTGGTGACCGGGCACGGCTGGTCCCCGGAGATTCTCCGTAGTGAAAGTAGTTGAGCCCTTGAATGTTTTCAGGTCACTCCATCTCAGTGGATCCATACCAGATAGTGAGCCAGTCATCTTTTCCTGGTGGTCACACGGCCCTGGGCAGGCTTTGTCAGCAGTCTGTGGGGTTGAAAGGGCTGTATGGTCTTTTGCCTCATTTCTAAGTCTGGGGTGATTTTCTTAACCAGTGGGGAGGAGAGCATGTATGTGATAACAGCAATGTTCAGGAAACACTGGAGAACCACAGATCACTGTGCTGCATTTTAGGGGGGAAGGGAATCCAATCCACCAGTAATCCCATTACCTAGAGAATCATCACAATATTTGCTGCCGATCCTTCCAGACTTTTCCTATACATTAGATAACCAAAAATATATGCCTCTGTGGTGTTTTCAACTTTGCAAAAACGGGATCAAACACCCAGGTCTTTCCTCACCTACTTCCTTCCCTTAGTTTCCCCTGGAATGTGCCTTCCTTGGCGCTGGGCGCCAGTGTCCTTGGCTAGGTCCTAGTCCTGTGTCCTGGGAGGCACCTGCAGCACCGGCAGTCGCTGAGACCACGCTCTTCTTCTGTCTGCAGGCTGGCAGCCCCGGTGGTTCCTCCTCTGCGGGGGGATATTGTCCTACTACGACTCTCCGGAAGACGCCTGGAAAGGTTGCAAAGGGAGCATCCAGATGGCGGTGTGCGAAATTCAAGGTGAGGAACCAAGAGAGCTGCGGGGTCTCCCTTTCCTTCTGTCCTCCCCCAAATAAAAAAAGCATTGGTCTCTGCATGCCTTTCTCACGTAATACATGCCTCTCCAGTAGTGCAGAAAAAAGTGTGTAGCGGCATGTCCCAAAAGAAAGCTCTGCAATAAAGCCTGAAACTGCAGCCACTTTGTCCGAGGCAGTTGGTTCAGAGGGAGTCGAATGAGAGCAATGGGACTCACCGCGCGTTAGCGCTCCTTCCTTCGTGCCCTGCCCGCCTGGGGCCGGGGGCTGTTGGTGAAGCTGGTTTAAATCTGTTCACTGCAGCTTTGGACACGTCCGTGTTCAATTCGAGACACACACGCACTCCGCGCCACCACTGCATACTCAAAACCAAACAAGCAGACGCCTGGCAGACCTGCAAAGAGCCTCACTTCTTGGTTTTGGGGATCGTGAGACACACTGAGATGTGGCTCAGGAGCAGATTAGAGGGGAATTCGGGGGTCGGAGGCCAGTGGGTGGTGGGTGAGGGAGGGTGCGGCGTGCTCGTTTCTTCTTCTGAGGGCGCTGAGGGAATTCCCAGGCGTTCGCTCTGGCTCGTGAAGGGAAGCAGAGAAGGAAAAACTTCATGTTCTTGATAGCTTTGCAGTAAACCCAAGGAGATAACAGAGCGCCCTCTTACTGGTTTCAACCTCAGAGCAGCTGACTTTACACACCCAAGCCAAAGGGCCGACTCCTTCTCTATGCTGATAAAAGACCCAGTGGAGAATTGGATGATTTTTTTTTTTAGGCCGGAGTCTGGGTGTGACACCTGGGAGCCGGGGGCAGGGTTTTCCCTCGCCACAGGCGGAGGCATCTGGGATGAGGCGAGCAAGCAAGCAGGGAGTGGTAGTGAGGCTTCAGCGACCCGCACCAGCTGAGCTCAGGAATTTGGGCGGGGTGGCGGTGACCCAGGGTGGGCTCCTCCGGGCCTCTGACCTCGCTCTGCCTCGCCCCCAGTGCATTCCGTAGATAACACGCGCATGGACCTGATCATCCCTGGGGAGCAGTACTTCTACCTGAAAGCCAGAAGTGTGGCGGAGAGGCAGCGATGGCTGGTGGCCCTGGGGTCAGCCAAGGCTTGTCTGACGGACAGTAGGACCCAGAAGGAAAAAGGCAAGTAGCGACAGCCCTCTGGTCTGAGAGCCTTGGGCATCACCCACTGTCATCTCTGGGCCCCGAATTTACTATCTGGCTTCTGACCAGCTAGTTAGCTTCTGGTGTCATGCAGGCGATACACAATCCAGTGGGATTTAAACCGTGGTCCCTGTCTCAGCCTTAGCACATCAGAGTAGCACTGCATTCTAGTCAAGGTTCCTGGCCTTCTGACCTCGGCATGGCTCACTTAATCTTTCTGATCCTCGGTTCCCTAATATTTTAAACAGAGGCAGTGACCTACATGAGCAGGATGACGGCATGCATTAGTGACCACAGGAAGCCCCGTAGTACCCAGTCTGGCAGAGCTCGCCCTTGATGAAGAGCGGCTGAGCCAGCGAAGCCTGGGATCGGGGAGCTTTCTGCAGTCACCCCCGCTTTTCCTCTCTTCCCCTGGGGTGGGATGGGGGCTTAATTGTCAGGTTGCTGCTGGTTGCTGCTCATGACCTCGACAACCGTAGGTCCGAGAAGCACGGCACAGCTTTCTGTCTGGACTGGGGCGCAGGTGCCGGGGCTTACTGCCTGAGCCCTGGTCGCCACCTTGCCCGCCGGCTAGCTCGTGTGCGCACCTGAAGATGTCGGGGAGCGAGGAGAGCCTCTGGGAAAAAGTGTTTCAGGACACCTTTCTCATGACAGGTGTGGCAGATGTGCCTGCCTGTTCAGGTACAGCCAGTAAAGTAGCCTCTGCATTGGTGGTTTTGAATGCCAAATTGGGACTAAACGCTAGACACTGTCAGCTGTGACTCAGATCCGGTGGTAACGTGCAGCACTTTTACGGAGAAGGAAACAGAGGCGGTAATGATGGCCGCTGAGCCCTCAGCGCCGGGCGGCTGGAGCGCCAAGCGAGTGAGGGAGCAGCAGGTGCGTGGAGGGCGCTCTCCGCCCGGACAGGCAGCCCGCTGGCCCAGTCCCCGGAACTAATGAGCCCCTCGTGCGTGGTCGTCGCATGTTGCAGAACACTGTTCCCAGCCGTGAGAACCGTGCTGGCAGGTGGACAGCTGTGACCCCATTTTACACACGGAGAAAACTGGGGTGAAACTGAGACTAAAGCTCCGAACCCTGGACTCGGCTGCCCGTTGTAAAAGGTGGGACATTTATGTGATCTGAAGGGAAACCAGAGTGTCTGGCCCCAGCCGTGACACGTGGGTCAGAAGTGCGCTATCTCCTCCTCCCTGCACTGCCGATCAGGCCGTGGTTGGCTTCAGAACGAACGTGCACCAACCACTCCCATGGTCGGAGGCCCCCTTGCTGATTCCCTTGCTCCGTGTCTTCCCTGATACCCCGCCTGTAACCGGCACTGTACGCATCCGACTCAGGCGTGCGTTACCGTCCTACTCTCCGTACGGTGAACTAACCAGTAAGCCATTCATTCGTCTCGGTAATGACGTGCATCATCTTCATGTTGTTGTTTAGAGTTTGCTGAAAACACTGAAAACTTGAAAACCAAAATGTCGGAACTGAGACTCTACTGTGACCTCCTCGTCCAGCAAGTGGAGAAAACGAAAGAAGTGACCTCCGCGGGCGTGTCCAGTTCCGAGGTAAAATACTGTTTCTCTCACCCACGAGGGAAGTGGCGCCAGATGTTGCGTACGGGTGATGCTTACTGTCACGTAATCCCTGACTCTCTTGGATTTTACTGTTTTCCAGAGGGGAAAAAAAAATGATAAAATTTAACAAAGAATAAATGTGTGCATTTCAGCCTATGGAAGCATATCACTTTCTAGAATGAATCCAGGATCAATTAATTGCCAGCGTGTGGGACCTTTACACTCTGTACTGATGTCCTCAAACACGTCACCCCCCAGCTCGTGTCGCTCTTTAAAGCGGCACCTCGCCTGCCTGGCAGAGCCTCTTCCGCAGGTGTGGCCACTCACGTAGCCCCATCATGCCTGGCAGTGCGGATCTGTCACCTTCAATGACACTGGTGACTGGCGAGCTTGAAGATAGACTGGTGCTTTCAGAGATGGAGATCAGCTGTTGTTCACTCCTTCAGCAGCAAGGGGTGCGACTTTTAGTGTGTATTAATAAAGTGGCCATTCACCCACCCAAAACATATGTGAAAAGCCAGTATCTCTGGCATCAAGCTCTGGACCGAATGGCTCGCACTCACCAGAGCGGGTCTCTGCCTTGCTGCTCTCGGGGCGGTTAGAACCCAAACCACGGCCCGAGAAACAAAGGCTCTGCAGGTTGGTTGTAGCTAGTGGTTTTGTTACGTAGCTCTCCGACGCTGTGCTACTAGGCATGTGTGTGCTGATAGTTTCTCCAGTGAGGGTGATCGGACTCTCTCGCATTCACTTCCTTCTGGGCTCTCATTCGTTCAGCAGCTGCCAATCATGTACGAGACCCTCTGCTGGGATAAGGAAGGAGAGGGGCACCAAAAAGTTTTTCAGTTCTGTCCTTGGGGTGTCTATAGTCTAGAACAGTGATTTCCAACCTTTTTCATCTCATGGTGCACAGAAATTAATTACTGAAATTCCTCGACACACCCAAAAATATATATTTTGCCGATCTGACCCAAAAAAAGGTATAATTTTGATTCATTCACACTGGACGACTATTGTTGTGTTGGCTGTTGTCTTTATTTTTTTAACTTGACGGTCTAAAGCAAAAGAGGTCTGTGCCCCTGACTAAATAGTCAGATGTTGCCTGTTTTAAAAATCACGCAGCACACCAGTTGAAAATCGCTGGTCTAGAGCAATTAATCGTTAGCAATTAATTAATCCTGGATTCATTCTAGAGAGTTATATGCTGTAGAATGCTATTTCCATAGGCTGAAATGCACACATTTATTCCCTTTGTCGAGGCAGTTTTGCCCCTCAGGAGATATCTGGCGGTGTCTGGAGATGTTGTTCTGGAAGACCCCTGCGTAGAGACTTCGTTGAACATTTCCGGTGACCTGCAGGGTAGCATGAGCAGCTCCATCTTGGGCCTGGTCTGGTGGCTGTAACGCTGCTAGGATGCGGTCACTGCACTCTAGCCGGGATGCGGCCTCAGTTTCCTGAGCAACACATTCATGTCAGTATCCAGAGGAAAAACACACTGAACAAGTAAAAATGACTTAGAGAAAAAAATGATTAGCTAGTCAAAGCACTTCCAGTTGCTGAGACCTCTTAGACTCATCTGAACCCAAAGCCAGAAAGCCCATTCTGAAAGCAAACATTGCACGATTGGTGGTTTCTCATGCTTCTGTGTTAGAACCTCAGTTTTACTCAGGCAACAGGGGAGACGTTTTCCCATGGATCCCACTGGTCTTCAGGCTCCAGTTCCCTCTCTCCTGTCTGCCACCTCTGTAGACTAGAAATTAGTCTTGTTGCCTTGGGCCGACGTGCTGGGTGAGCATGAAGGGTAGGACTGAGGGCAAGGCTTATGTGTGGTTCGTAGATCAAGCGGACTCACCCAGGCCCTTTCTTTTATAACTGATGCACACATTTGTCCTGCAAAATAGGTGGGGACGTTATTATTATGATGCTGTGGATAAAAACCTCTAAGGACATTCCACCATTGGGCTTTTCCTTTTTTTGGCAAGGTAAAGGAGTCTTCCACTCTGGTTGTTTCTTAGGAGGGAATTGACGTGGGAACGCTGCTGAAATCAACGTGCAACACTTTCCTGAAGACCTTGGAAGAATGCATGCAGATCGCGAATGCCGCCTTCACCTCTGAGCTGCTCTACCGCACTCCGCCGGGGTCCCCGCAGCTGGCCGTGCTCAAGTCCAGCAAGGTGAGAGCCCTGCGCAGCGGCCCGCAGCGGGGCGCAGGAGAAGTGGGGAATGCTGGGAAGCGATACCCTGAGCCGTGTTCCCTCTGGTGACTGATGAAGACTTTTTTAGTGGACTTCTTTACACCCACTTTTATATCCGCCCTCAGTCCCCCCATCCAGTCAGTTCCTTTCGGCAGTTTTACCTCCTAAACCTGTAGCTAGCCTCTTCTCTCTCGCGCCTTGACCAGTGAGTCTCTTTGAGATTCGTGGTAGCCTCCTGACTAGTCACCTTCAGCCCGACCCTCACAGGCAGCTGGACAGTACTCCCGCTCACGCAGCGTGCCCTGGAGCCCTCTACCGGACCTTTCCGAGGCTCCCTCGTTGCCCCTCCCGCGTCCCCAGCTGACTCTTCTGCTGTCAGTATCTGGCTTGAGCGTGTGTGTTAACTGCTCGTAGCGCCCCCACATCTGGGTGCCATTTCCCGGGGCCAGGAATGCCCTGTGCCCTCTCCCGCCTGGTTAGCGCTTATTCATCCCTCATTGTTTGATCTCTTCTTCCCCGCATCCCTAGGGTGGGCTGAGAACTCCCCTTCTCTGCTCACCTGTGTTTCACTCTCACTCTACAATGGGATTACCTGAAGGGCAGGCACCCCATACGGTTTACCTTTACACTTCCAGTGTTTAACACGGGGCTGCATCATACCTTGGTATTTATTGGTGTTTAATGAGCATACCGGAAATTATAAGGGAGTGAAGCGCTAAGGGTTTGGCTCTGATAATTAGGTCCTTCAAAGACCATCTTCCCTTTTACTTAGAAATGTGGGCACCCTCATCTGAGTAAATATGAAGGGCTGGTTGGGAGGAATGACTCCCTTCCCTTGGGAGGACCTGCAGTTGTTCTGACACCGGAGCGGCGTGCGTTACGGTCGCATTTATCAGTCTCGTGTGTGGTCAGCTGAATGGGCGCCGTTGGAAGTGCAATGTGTAAACTTCACTTCTGTGCTTCTTTTCAAGGCGAAGCATCCTATCGTACCGATTCATAATTCACTGGAAAGGTACAGTAGCGTTTTTGGTTCTTCTTCCTTCTCAAAATTAAAAAAAAAAAGATAAAATAAGAGTATTTTGATCGTTGGGTGGTTTTTCTCATGATTTAAGATGACACCAGAGGGAAACGGCACCCGGTTTTCCTCTTTCGGGGGAGCCCGACGCAGCGGCAGGCCTCCCTCCCACTCAGCAGCAGCTGCCAGGGAAGGCGTAGGCGTTTGCGTTTTCGGCTGCGGCCCAGGCTCTCACCCATGGCTTCTAGTGACTTTCCATCTCCCTAGTGAACCGGGGTCTGGAGCTGCTTCTCTCGTGGAGGAGCTGAGCTTTGATCTGAGTGTGCTTTTATCCGGAAGGACAGTGTGGGGGGTTTTTTGTATAGAAATAAAAGTCTTAGGTAGATTTACAGGCTGAGAAAGGAACATAATATCAAAATCTAAACTATTTCTTCCTCAAAATACTCCTTTGATTTGAAAAGGGACACATTTACATAGTTATGTTCCTATTATTTGGGGTCTTTGTTCAATGATTATTGGATATAAGCATTCCCATGTTGTGACTTAGTTGATATATTTGTCTTTTAAAGTTATTATGTAATATTTCATCTCTTTATGTACTATAGTTTGCTTCTTTAGTACAGGAGTGTTCCCAATTTGGTTATTAAAATTTTTATTCCTGTCCTAAATATTTTTACTAAGAATGTTATAGATATTTTTCTTTTGAGATACTTCCTTAATATACATTTTTCATTGCTAAGTTGAAATTTGTTTCTTTAGAAAATAAATGTCTTTCCTGGAGTCATTATGTAGCTTGGACCCTTCCCCTTTATTTTTATTAGCAGGAAATGTTTGTTCTAATTTAGCTGGTCCTGAGCACTTGTAATAAGGTGTCATATTTGTCCCCTTTAGAGAATCAGTTGTTCCACTTGGGCGTCATTTTGCCTTTTCTGTCACCCTGAAGAGCAGCAGGTCCTCAGGATGTGCTCTGTCCTCCCAGGTTTTACCTGCCACACATACTCAGCGGGAGAATTCTGCTCTGGTCACCGCACGTGGCTTCCAGACAGTTAGCTGCTAGGCAAACACTGGAGGTGGCCAGTGATTCTGAGAGCTGAGGAGAGAAAAACCCTTTCAGGGAGAGGCGGAGAGAATGAGGAAAGTGTTCAATGTGGTGCCTGTAGAAAGCGGATGGAAAAGGAAGGACTGACAGTGGCTACTTCCTGTCGCTGCTGGGGAGCAGGAGGTTTGAGCCCCAGGAGGGCACACGAAGAGCCATGAACGGCTCCTTGATTTCTCAGCTTCTGCCTGGAGACAGGCCTGCTCAGCCGCTGGCAGGCGCCTGCCCGGGAGGCGGGGCGGGGAGAGGCTGGGCTTGACTGGACAATCCTGTTTAATCCAAGTGAACCCTCCCGCCTCCCTCAGAATAAGATCTACCTGAGCCATCTGTTTATGAGCAAATAATTGGACCTTCTGACCTTTTCTTTTAAAAAACATTTTCCAGGCAGATGGAGCTAAACAATTGTGAAAATGGGTCTTTGACTATGGAAATAAATGATGATGAAGAAATCCTAATGAAAAACAAGAGTTCCTTGTATTCGAAATCTGCAGAGGTCGATGGCAGCATATCAAGTGAAGAGAACACTGATGATAACGTAACAGGTAAAAACGAAGTTAAAGTCTGAAGCAAACCTCTGAACAACCTGAGGAGTTTGGGGGTTTGATTCATTGTCCATCATGGGGCACGTGGTAGGAATTGAACGCAAGGCTGCGCACTAGGTGGCTCCTGGGGCAGATGTGCTAGCTGGACGACAGGTCACTTGTCCGTCACCGTCTGGCCGGATGCTGAAGAGCAGGGAGAAGAGCGACTTTCCACTCACTGGTCTTGGCCCAGATGTCCACGGGCGGCGGTGTGTGCAGCAGCCTGCGCTGACTCTGTACAGAGTCTGTGCGCTCATCTCACCAGCCTGCGTGGGATCTCCGAGTCCTCCGAACTCACACCATGGGATCGGACGTAAGACTGCGTCAGGTTCCCATCCCCCCGGCCTCTGGCGAGGCCCGACTCTGCCGGGACTCACCGGCCACCGCCAGGCCCTCACCCGGCCTGCTCTGTGCTCCTCAGGCCGCAGTCCTTTTCAGGTGTGCTAATTGCGCGGCTCTGACCGCTAAAAACCACAACTGCAGCAGAGCTTTTAATTGTGTTCTATCGGTTTTTATTAACTGTTTTGAAAATTAAGTGAAAAAAATTTTTCTCCTCATTTCCCTTGAAGAAAGACAGCCCATTTTTCCAGACGAGTTGGGAAAAAAAGAAGATGTGTTTTCATAACTGTTAATAGAAGGCACGTGATCCACCCATCACTGAAGTCTTATCCGTTGGGTGAATAATAAAGACGGACAATTTCTCTTGAAACAGTATTACCGTTTGACCTGTAATTTTACTCCTAGGAATTTGTCCACAGGGAATAGTCAGATTTAAGGACAGATATCTGGACAGGGATGTTTTTGGTGTGTGTGTTTTTTAAGATTTTATTTATTCATTTTTAGAGAGAGGGGAAGAGAAGGAGAAAGACACCAATGTGTGTCTTGCCTCTCGCACGCCCCCCACTGGGGGCCTGGCCCACAACCCGGGCATGTGCCCTGACTGGGAATCGAACTGGTGATCCCCCTGGTTCACAGCCTGTGCTCAATCCACTGAGCTGCGTCAGCCAGGGCTGGACAGGGATGTTCTTTATGACATGACCATCGGTTCTCATTATTCATGGCAGTTCTGTCCCATAGTCATTGTAGACACTGAATTAGCAAACACTGAACTGTCACTCCAAGGGGAGATACAAGTTAGATTCCTGCAACATGACTGTTTGCAGAAAAATAGTCGTATTTTTGTTGACTAATCAATATATAACCTTATCTTAGGTGTTTCTACTCAAAGACACCTTGTCTAATGTGTGTTGTTGATTCGGTGACATCGAACCCATGGCCAGTAGCTCTATCTACAACTCCTGCCTGAACGAAGCTTATCTAACACATGTATTTTCTCCATAAGGCACATCACAGCCTTCTTGTGTTTAGGACACCAGACAGCACAGCGCTCAGGGGCCCGTTTAAACAGTGAACTCAACGACAAAATGCACAAAACTCGGCACTGAAAAAACCCTTGTGCGCAGCACGGGAGCTGAACGAAGAAGGCAGTGTCACCTTGTTCAGCCTTAGCTGGGAATGTACATGTCGGGTGACTCATTTTTTCACCACTCTGCACATGTCCACAAATAACTGCAAAAGTGCTGGCAGCATTGGTTTTCGAATGACAGATAAACTTTAGCAAGTAGGCCAACTCACAAAGGCAGAATACACTAATGATGAGGAATGGCTATTTCTAAAAGTGAAATTCTAGAAACCACATAAATGCCCTCCGCACGAGCATGATGCAGTCTCACATGGCCATTAGAGTCCTGGCTTGCAGAGTATTTAATGATCATGAAAATGTTTTTGATACATTGGTGAAAACAAGCAAGACACAAATCTACATATATTTAAACCCAGTTTGTGTGCATATGTGTTTGTGTGTGTGTGTGTGTGTGTGTGTGCAGTATGTCACTGGTTTTTATTTCTGTGTACTCCTCTGCATTTTAGAAATGTTCGACAATGAACACATATACTTTTGTAACAGATAACGGGTTAGTAATAAGTAGCTTTACTTTGCAGCCCAAGGTGAAGTAATGAAGGGAGAGGGAGAGGCAGACTTGGGAAATCACGACGTGGCACAGCGAGGGTCGAGCCCCTCGGGGAGCTCTCCGGAGCCCCGCTGGGAAGAAGGCCAGGAGGTCATCCCGACTTTCTTCAGTACCATGAACACCAGGTACGCTGTGCTCTCCGAAACCCCGCAGGGGGAGACCTTCCGGAAGATCCCCCCGGAGGCTCCTTTTGGGACCCGTGGGTCCTGGCGGGGTGGAGACTGTGGTCTGCCCGAGTTCCTGCTTTACTGCCTGCCTTGTCTGACACAGCGGGTGAGGAGGCGTTGGACTGCGAGAGCATGTTCCGTGAACTCATTTTAGCTTGTGCTGAAGGATGATCTTTGGAAAACGATGTTCTCGTGAGACTGTATTACAACAGAAAAACAGTCACTGGGGCTTAGGTGTGCCACACGGTCTGCCCTGTACAGGGCAGCTGTTTTCATGACTGCCTCTGAATTGCACAGAATGGTAATGTTGTGTTCGCTTTTGTTTCTCCTTTTTGTTACCACATTGCTTAGCTTTAGCGACATTGAACTTGTGGAAGACAGTGGCATTCCCACAGAAGCATTCTTGGCATCGTGCTATGCTGTGGTTCCAGTACTGGGTAAGATTGCTGCACGGCCCTAAATTCATCAGCCTCCAGAACCCGTCTCACCGTGGCTGTCTCACACAGGGAGCCCGCACTGCGCGTGCGGGGAGGTGACCCTTCCCAGCCGCCTCTCCGTGTCACCGGCCCCATGCAGTGACGATGCGTGACCTGAAGCACTCTTGCATATTCTCATTTCGTGATTAAATATTGACCCTCAAGTGGTGTAATGAAAAAAAGGGAATTCCATTTTCTAGAAATCATAATTTACCATGGAAGTGAAAGTCGTTGGGGAACAGACCTTCAAATCCATTGGTGCTATGTGAAAAATTTCACCAGTTAAAACGTTTTTTTCAAAGATCAAAAAAAATATAGACGTATACGTTTATTTAAGTTCAAACTACATTTACTTTTTATAGAGTCAGGAGTACTGGAATTGCTAATGTGCTGAAGTTTGCTACATGACCCATTTAACTCTGCATCTGTTTTTTTTTAATCGTGGTATAACTCGCATAACTGAAGTGTTAGGATTTAGGGAGTCTTGACAGATGCACCTGCTTATGTAACCTACGTCTCTGACAAAACTGAGAATGTTTTCATCGCCCCAGAATGTTCCCTCTGCCAGTCTATCCCCAGCCTGTCACCCAGCCTGAGGCAACCATTCTGCTGCTTTCTGTCACCATGGATTAGTTTTACCTGTTCTGAAATCTCATAGGTATAAAACCATATCATGTGCCCTTTTGCAGCTGGCTTTTTCTCTCACTACGTTTTTGTCCTTGTTGTTACATGTATCAGCAGATCACTCCTTTTCAATGCTGAGTAGTGTATCAAATGAACTTAAGGGTTGGCTTATTCATTCTTCTGTTGATAGACATTTGGGTAGTTTTTTGTTTGGGGCTGTTATAAGTGGAATTGCTCTGAACATTTTGTGCCTGTGGGAGTATGTTTTCCTTTCTCTTGAGCCAATACCTGGGCATGGACTTGATGATTCCTCAGGTTGGTATGTTCAGCTTTATACAGACTGGTTACACAACCGTACACTTCCGATGGCAGCGTGTGTGTGTGTGTGTGTGTGTGTGTGTGTCGTGGTTGCTTCGCATTCTTCACCAGCGCTTGGTGGTGTCAGTACTTCTGGTTTTGGCCGTTCCTGTGAGTGTCTAGTGGTATTTATGGCTTAAATTTGCTTTTCTCTGATAACTAATGATGTTAAGCACTTTTTCATATAATTATTTGAAAATCTTTAATCCACTTTTAAAAGTTGGTTAATTTTCTTTCTATTGTTGACTTCTAAGAGTCTCTCATACATTCTGAGTGACACTCCAGTGCGGACATGCGCATTGTGGATGTTTTCCCCAGACCGTGGCGGCCCGTCTCAAGCGTGTCTCTCGATGAGCAGTTTTTCATTTTCATGAAATCCAGTTGACCCGTTTTCTTCCTTTCATGTTAGCACTCTCAGGGTCCTGAAAGCTTTGCTCACCCCCAGCTGTGACGATCTCCTCTCCTGTGCTGTCTTCTGCACTCTCGCGATTTCGTTTCCGTCTGTCAGCCACCTTGGAATTAGTTTTTGTACATGGTGTGAAGTGAGTGTTGAGATTCTTTATTTTTCTTCACATGTGCAGTTGTTCAAGAACCGCTTGTTGAAGACATTCTTTCCCTTTTACTCTGCTTCGGCAGCTTTGTTGGAGGTCAGTTGACCCAAGTGTGGGTCTGTTTCTGGCCTCTCTCTCTCTCTCTCTCTCTCTCTCTTGTCTCAATGACCTGTTAGTTTTTCCTAAACCGATACTCTCAGTCCTAATTACTGTGCATTTACAGCAAGGCTTGAAATCAGGTGATGAAAGTCTTCTAGTTTTGTTCTTCATTTTCAAGATTGCTTTGGCAATTCTAGGTTCTCTGCATGTCTGAATAAGTTTTAGCTTTTCAGTTTCTATTAAAAAGCCTGTTGGTATTTTAAGATTACTCTGAATCTGTAAGCCCAGGAGGAGGGAACTGACTCCTTAAACACTGAGTCTTCTGATCCCCAAGCATGCCGTGTCGCTCCGCTCATCCAGGTGATTTGTCGTTTTCACAACGTTTGTAACATTTTTTAAGTGTAGAAGCCTTACACTTGTCTCATTAGGAATAAATTTTGGAATTTTATGGTTGTTGATGCCATCGTAAAGACTACTTTATGTTCCAGTTGTTCACTGATAGCCTATAGATACCATGGACTTTTGTACATTGAGTTTTGATGATCATGAATGAGTTCATTTTAAAATATATTTTCTGCATTTATTGAAATAATCATGGTTTTCCCCCTGTACTTTGTGTTAATGCAGTGAATTATGTCGTTTGGGTGAATATAAGTCTACTGTCTTGTAATTTATTTTCTATTGAGTTGGCTAAAAATTCTGCTTAGTTTTTTCCATAAGATAAAAGACACATTTTTCATTTTCACCACTAACTTTATTGATTTGGATGTGTTGAGTCTGTCGGCGATCTCCTGCTATTGGCTTCTCGTGGATAGAGGCCGGGGGTGCTGCGAAACATCTTCCAATGCACACGACAGCCCCACAGCAGAGAATTCTTTGGTCAAAACATCAGTAGTATCCAGAAACTTCATAAACCACTTTTGACACATTCAGTCAGTCACAGCACCTTCTCCATACACTGCACAGATCTTTTACTGTATTTCAGTTGCATTTTTACGTATCTTAAAACAATAAAGTGTAACATGCGGTAAATGTTTCACATCTTCTTCCATCTTCAATATTAAAATGGCTGCACAAACATTCACTAATTTTGATTTTTTTAAATGCACACTGATATGACAGCTGCCACCATAAGTCTAACAGAATTGTTTCGAATGAAGTTAAAGATAACTAAGCGCTACTAGAGCCATCCTATGGAAAAAACTAAGCGAACTTTTTGGCCAGCCCAGTCCTGGTCCTGTCTGTTTTTTTTTTCCTTTGTTACTCTTTTCTTGACTTCTAGTCAATTAATGTTATTTTCTAGTATTCAATTTCATTTCCTCTTTGGCTGTTTACCTACCTGTCTTTGTTCCTGCCTTCCTTTTGGATCTCTCAAGTATTTTTTAGAATTCTGTTATATTGTCTTTTGGCTTTCTAGCTATACCCACTTATGTTGTTTAGTTGTTCTTGCCCACCAGAAATATTTGAGCCACACGTATAATTTTTAATTTTCTAACAGGTCCATAAAATAGTAAAACAAAACATAAAAAACTATTTTTATAATTTAGTTTATCTAACCCAGAATATTCAAAATACCATCTCAACATGTAACCAATATAAAAGACTCATTAAGGAGGTATTTTGCATTTTTTCTCGGCATTAAATCTCCAAACTCTGGTGTCTGGCTGTCTTACACTCACAGCGCATCTTAGTCCGGACGAACTCACTGCAGGCACAGAGTGGCCACCAATGTAGCAGCTCTCACACTGGGCAGAACAGCCCTAAGGGTTACACGCTGTATTCTAAGTGTGTAAGATTATCCTCACCTGCCACGTAGGGCCTTAGTATGGTTACTCCCCTCAGGGTAGTATCCTAGAACCCTTTGCAGCTTATGTTTAGGAAATGATTTAAAGGCAAAACAGAAAAGTTATTTTCTTTTGGTGGGGAAGAAACCTGCTAAATTTAATGATACACTAAAAAAATATTTTCCACTTGAAAAAAAATGCTTCTTCAAAGCTGTCTTTAATTTTTTTCTTTTAGACAAACTTGGCCCCACGGTGTTTGCTCCTGTTAAAATGGATCTCGTTGGAAATATCAAGGTGAATGTACTAGCTGGTCTCTGGGGACAGTGTGTACTTGGAGGAAATGGTTGCATGAAATCTTCTTCAGAAATGAATGATTGTTGAGTTTGATCTCAGAATAGAAAGTACGGAGGTGTGGTACAGGACAGCTGTGTGAAAGGTCCCGGGGCAGGAAAAACGCTCTAAAAAGACTACTTTAAAACCGGAGAACCAACCATTTAACTCTAGCTTAAGCCTCGTAAGAATTCTCAAACAGAAATAACATGCCCCTGCAAACGCAGGGAAGAAAGTAACAGAGACCACGTTTATTCTGCTTCCTTAGAGGCCTGTTTGACAGACGTCAGAGTCTCAGTTGCTGTACTGATGTGCTTGGTTGCTTTAGCGTTTTAAGCTCAGACCGCCCCTCTGCTTTGCCTGCAGAAAGTGAATCAGAAGTACATCACCAACAAGGAGAAGTTTGCCACCCTCCAGAAGATCGTGCTGCATGAGGTGGAGGCGGACGTGGCCCAGGTCAGGAACTCGGCTACGGAAGCCCTCTTGTGGCTGAAGAGGTGAGGCTGCTGCAGGGGGAGGGGCTGCGGTTAAAAAGCTGCAAAACCGTTGTCATGGCACGGAGACTGCTTCTGAGTGAAGGGCCTGACCTCACTGTACAGCCTTTTCTAGGGGGCCTAACGAAAAGAAGACTGACTACCCTTTGGGGTTTTTGTTTTGTTTTATTTTTTTGCCCTCTCTTGATGGTGATAAACATTAACAGTGTACATAAAATGAAAACATAAAGAAGCTGACTGGTTCTGATTAAATCAGTGGATCACAAACTTCAGGGACATCAGAGTCACGTAGAGGGCTTGTTAAAAACATAGTTGCTCCAGCCCAAACCCAGAGTTGCTGATTCAGTACGTCTGCAGCGGGCCCAGAATCTTCCGCTTTAGCAAATTCCCAGGTGATGCCGAAGCTGTGGTCCCAGGGGACCACAGCTGGAAAACCACTGTTGAGCTGTATCAGATGAGAAGGGCAAGGGCAAGGTCAAGAGCAAGGAGAGGACGAAACTCAGAAAGCACAGCCACGTGGCTTAACCTGTCCCTGCCATGCCCACAGTATTGCTGGAGAAGCAACTGCGGCCTGCCTTTTCTTTCTGCCCACTGAACATAAGTGAAGTTTGAAACTAACATTTCTTCCTCTTTTTTTGTTTTTAGGGGCCTTAAGTTTTTGAAAGGATTTTTAACAGAAGTGAAGAACGGAGAACAGGACATCCAGACGGCCCTGAGTAAGTGTTCCCTGCGTGTTGAGTGATCAGTTGAGCAGGAGGTGGCGTGGAGACCCCTGGAGCAAGAGAGAGGGTGGAGAGGAAACTCCTGCTTTTCACAATTTGGTTTTGTTTCTTTTTTATTCATCATTATTAATCGTTTCTTTCTTACATGCTTTGTTTGAAAAGAACCCATGAGGTAGTCACCTGGTGACCTAGAACTAACTCAGAAAAATCAGTGTATCTTAGAGAAGAGCAAAATTAACGGAGAGCCATCTCTTAGTAGGAAAACCTAATATTTCCAAGAAGTCTGTTCTTCCTGAATTAATCTTCAAATACAGTACAGTCCTCTAAAATATCCAAAGAGAAGCTAGTTTTGGAGGGGGTGGGGAACCCTGGGGATTTGCTCTGGAGTGAGATGAACCTTGTGCTCCTCCCTTGCCCACATGCCCCATTATTGTAGTGGGAGCTGGGCCTGGCATCAGGGCCTTGGTCAAGGACTAGAATGCGGTGCTTAATCCATGTATCTATTGGGTCAGTTTTGATGAAAAACATTTAAGAGTTGGAAGCATCCTCATAGTGCTCCTAACAGAGTGGCTGAGCTCTCACGTGTGACCTGTGGGGAATTCTTCCAGCATGGGCCCTGAGGCCTGGGGGCGGGGGTGGGGGTGTGGGTAGGGGTGGGGGGAGTGCACATATTACTTTGAAGTCCCGTGTGGTCATGGTGTGGAGAAGCCACCCAGGGTCAAGCTCTAAGTAGCCACGATGATAGTGAAATGGATGCACTGGACGCTTCTGGTGGGCAGCGGGGGCCAGTGTCCCCTGAAGCGTTCTGTCAGTCTCGGGGACCTTACCTCCTGCTGCCAGTCCTCCCTCCGGGCCGGGAGGCCTGAGGGGTTCTGCCCCCCACGTGATTGGCCCAGGTCTTTCTGTCTAGAAACTCACCCATGTGCCAGGAAACAGTAAAAGCTGATGTTTCTGGAGCACTTTATGAAGAGTTTAGACAGACAACCTGACCCTCAGATCAGTCCCTTTGTATAGGTTAGGTAACCAGAATTCAGAAAGACTGACACGGGCCAGGACCACAGAGAGTTTGCATCAGGGTCACTTTGGGGCTCCTGCCTCCAGGGTCCTTATTTCCCCGACAGAAAGTCTCCACCATCCTGGGGCCACCTGCATTTGGGGGTTTCTCGCACATCCCTGAATTTCCAGAACAGTCCCAGTTGCGTTCCCCGCTCTGTGTCCTGATTGCAGCGCCAGCAGTGTATCCGCTGTAACTGCTCACGCCCCGGACCAGGGTCATGGAACTCTAAGACTCGTGGAGCGAGCGGCTCAGACCACGGGCTCTCTGGATTCCACCACCGACTCCACACACTGTACCCTTAGTCTACTTGACCTTCCTCTTTCTCAGTGTCCTCACCTGAGGAATGACGATGCCATTTTCCTAACAAAGTTGCTGTAAAGATTAAATAGGTTCATTCATGTGAAAAGATCAGAAAAGTGGTACCTACGAAGCACTTAATAGAGACTAGCTTCTATTGTCATCGTGTTCTCATCATCATGACACACGAAGCTGGTGACCAGCCTGCCCGGGAATGGGGTTTATTGGTCTCAAACCAGAAATGGGAAGTTTATAAAGCTCAGGTGCCAAACCACAAATTCCTCTCCAGAGTGTGGACATTTCACACTGGGAGGAAGACCCTCCACCTGCAGGAAATGCAGACTGTGCTGGACTGGGCAGGGGGCCCCTCCTGTGGTGCAGCAGGGGGCCTCTCCCGTGGTGCGGAGGCTTTGTGTGGCTGTCCCTGAGGGGTAGAGGGGAGGGAAAGGTTTTGAGGTCAATGTTTCCCCTCTGCTGGAGCGGGGGAGGGGTGGGGCGGGGCGGAAGAGAACCCAGCTGCCTGCGGAACACAAGCACGTGCAAAGAAAAGCTTTGCACCTACATGGGGGTGGGGGGGTGAATGCTGCACCCTTTCTGTCCTGCCCCCACCCAAGTGTTGGCCCCCTCTTCTCCCCTACTTTTGACGCAAGTACACCAGGAAGTGTTGACTCTGTGAAGAGCGGAGACTTTGAAGAGCAAATGCTGCTTCAGAACCGAAATAGTTCACAGCCCACCTCAGCTTTCCCTTCCCTCTTTTCCCCTTTGGTCTGTCCTCCGTGGGAAGGAAAGGGGGCTGTCAATTTGAGAGGTGCATCCGGTGCGCAGACCTATTTCAGAGGTTTTCGTGACTTAAACCTTATCTTCCTTGTGGGGAACCCCAGTTTCCTGCTGCTGGTTAATGCGGAGAGCGGTTTCCCCAGCCAACCCACCCTCCCCTCCAAGCACAGACAGGATCAGTCTGTGCAAACACATACAGTTTTATGAGAATGTTTCCACGTTAACTATTTACAGCCCACAGGCTCCTCGATGCATGTTTCTGCTGCGTGCGCAGCTCCTCTTTTCTCAGTTCAAAATCACAGCCTTTGTAAGTGGAACTGATATCTTACCCAAAATGAGGGAGTTTGGGTATGTGAGTGAAAGAAAGTGTGTGTCAGTTTATATGCCATATATAAGCAACTCAGCCTGTATGTTTTTAAATTCTTTTTTTTAATATATTCTTTTTTTAAGATTTTATTTATATTTTTTAGAGAGGGAAGGGAGGGAGAAAGAGAGAGAGAAACATCAATGTGCAGTTGCTGGGGGCTGTGGCCTGCAACCCAGGCATGTGCCCTGACTGGGAATCGAACCTGCGATGCTTTGGTTCTCAGCCCGAGCTCAATCCACTGAGCTACGCCAATCAGGGCTTGTTTTTAAATTCTAACATTAGATTTGAGTTACTGTAATAACAGCTACCGCGTAGAGAGCGTGCGTTGCAGGCGTGACAGTAGGTTCCCGATAAACGCTTCATTCACTCGTCCCAATACTCCCCTTTGCAGCCAGGAAACCAAGGTGCGGAGAGGGCAGGCGGCGCCCCTTAGCTCTCAGATCTAGATCGGTGGTTCTCACAGTGGTCCGGAGACAGCAGCATCTGTATCACCTGGGAACTTACGAGAAATGCAGACTTCCCAGCCCCAGTCCATGCCCACCAACTCGGGGAGTCCAGCAGAGCCCAGCCATCTCTGTGTTAACAACTCACGGAGGCGATTCTGTCCCTGCTGAGGTGTGGGGCCCGCTCCTGCAGAGCCAGGATGCGGACACTCCCTCGGGTACCCTCAGCATCAGTCGGTCTGCCTTCCTTTCACGGTGATGAGCTGGCTCTCCAAGGACCAAAAATTTTTCCCAACCTAGAACAGCAAGACAGGAATACATGAAAGCTAAACCTTTAGTTATTGAATGGCACCCCCAAATTTGAAGGTTCTGCTTGAGAAAGGTTTTGAGGTAAATGTTCCTAAAACGTGTGTGACTTTCATGGCCTCGAAACTGGGAGATGATGTATAAAAGCCCCGAGTGACATAACAGAAGCCCTGGCACCCGTTCACTCCCCAGAAAGCGCCCGGACAGTCACTGGTCTGCAGCTCTGCAACCTGGAGTGAGTCCCCGGCGTCTGGGGGGAAGCCTTGGGCTTTAGCCATCACGTGGCTTCCCCATAATGATGACTAGAGAGGGGGTTGGTGGTGGTCTTATGTCAAGAGCTGCTGTGAACTCCCAGTGTCCTGTGACATTCTCTGGAGGTCATTCTCAGAAAGAGCTGGCTCCACAAGGCGGATATGCTTAACAGTCCAGCCTGTAGCTGAGCCCCTCCGCCCGCAGATGCCCTATCAAAGAGCTGGCAGAGAGCAAACTCATAAGAGGAAGGCAGGCAAGTTGCTCTGGCATTTCATGCTCCATTGTGCTAAATGTTACGTGCTCTGCACTGTGCCCCCAGCCCGGGATAGCGTATTGGCGCATCCCTCCCCTCGGAATGGCCCCATAAATGTCGGGTAAATATTAACCCCACCAGGAGCTCCAGCGTGCTCCATTATGTGTGTGATATGAAAGGCTTTCACAGACCAGGAGAGCTACACGTGAAAGCCCGAACTTGTACTCGGGGATACTCAGTGTCAAATTATAACGAGACTAATTATCCTGAAAACACTGGGGAACGTGAACCAAGCTGCGCTCGCTCCGAAACCCCTCGCAGCACGCTTCAGCGCCAGGTCCTGTCCTGGTGGTGCCCGAAGTCAGCAAAGACGCTTGGGCGCTTGTCTCACCTCTGCCCCCTGCTGGCGGAGCTGACTGTTCTCTGGACAGTTCATTCTGCCGGAAGCTTAGTCACTGTGAAGAATTCAGAGGGGATTTTCCTAGCAGCTCGGTATTTTTTAAGACTTCCAGACATTTAACAAATATCTACCACTTCACCAAATATGTAAAGCAGTTCAGTACAGCACCCGTGTGCCACCCCTTTGGGCCCACGGCTCCTCTCCTTTTCCAGAGAAGGTCTTCATCCAGAATTTGCTGCTTGTCATGATATAATGCACGTATTTATACTTTCACTCTGTGTTTCTGTGTCCATAAACAGTATCTAGTGTTTTGGTGTATATTTTAAACTCATATGCATGGTGTCACATTGTACACATTCTTCCTTTCTCACTCTGTACGATGTTTCATGTTTGTTCCCTGCTTATTTACTGTCGACCCGTCTGCGGCTCCCGGCTCCTCCCTGCCGACCGCCTGGCCTGGCTCCCCTGCTCAGCCCGGGGCGGTTGCTGCTGGTTCCCGAGCTCGGTGGAGGGGCGAGCCTGCCTTTCCCGGCGCTGGCGCCCACCTCCTCAGCTCTCCCTTCAGACTCGGACTTGCATTTCTTCTTTGTCCTCACTACAACCCAAAGTAACTTGACAAATTCTTACCAATGATGGATTTATGATAGAGAAACGCTATCTCGTATATTCCATTTCTGGATGGAATGGTGGTCCGCCAGCAGTAACGGGAAGGTTGTTCTCATAATCTCCAAATACCTCATAGTGAGTTTTAGGGTTCCTTGCAAAGAAATCCCATTCATATTGTTTCCGTAAACAGAATAAGGTCCCAGTTCTTTTAGGAAATGGCTGAGAACAGCACATTTTTCATTTTCATGATCTTGTTTTGTAATGTAAAGGATAAACATTAGTTTTTGGCAGAACGGTTCAATGTGACGAGAATGGCCCAAGTTCTCATCACTCTCAGCTTTGTGACCTTGGGCAAGTCCCTGTCTCTCTGGGCTTTCTGTCCCGTCGTTTGTAAAGGCAGAGAATTGGGCTCGGGGACTGATCCTCAAGGCGTCCTGCTCAGGAACTTTGACTTGGTCTCTGAGGAAGTGACACACCTCAAAGGACTGGAGAAGGGTATCATTTATGTCTTTCAGACGCCAAAAATACTCGCAGATTATAGAACACGCACTATGATAATGAATGGGTATTACCGTGAAGATTAATGTATTTCATTATCTAATCTCTGGGTAGCCAAAATAGGTCAGGCTTAGATCTCATCTTATTTTAACGCAGCCTCGTGTGGCAGGGATATTTGCAGCCCTAGATGTCAGCTAAGGACTCTGGGCAAATTTTTTTTTGGATGACTTTCATTTTATTTGTTGGTGTTAAATTGTAGCAGTGGTGTTGCTGGGCCCGAGTCAGATCCCAGCCCAAGTTCTCTGTCACCGTCTTCTCCCGTTAGGCCCCCCGGGCCACAGTTTTCCCGGTGGGACTCTCCTCTGGCGGGGTGCAGACACAATGAGGAATAGCGGCCACCCAGGAGGGCCGGGGGGGGGGGGCACTCGGACCCCACTGCTCCACAGACACGCCCTCTTCCGTGGGCCAGGCTCCCCGCCCACGTTGTTTAGACTCCGGGCACCCTTGCTTTCCTGCTGCCCTGCCGGGGGGTGTGGAGAAAGATTTCTGGGCTTTTTTGAATGGTTGACTGTATTACATGGCAAAGTGCAGGGAAGGTATGAAGTCTCTGATGTTGGCACAGCCCTGGATCCAGAGCCCTCGTAAGCAGGCGGCTAGGAGCTGAAGGCTTGGGGACCAGGGGGCTACATTTACAGTGCACTGTAAAGATTGGGAGTCTCACCTTTGACTTCTGTACCATGGCCCCAAATGAGACTGGTCGTGACTGTTAGAGAAAATAAGCTCTCTGTGTAGGCAAAAGGCTAGGAGAGTCCACCCCAGAATGCCCACGGTGGTTGCCTCCAAGAGGCACGGCTACACAGGTTTCTTTAGTTCCCCCTTTTTGTGTTTTCCATCTTTTTAACAATGAGCGTGCATTACTTGTGAAATCAGAAAAAAGCAGTACATGATATTTTTATAAAACTGCCACCGTGCCTTAGGGGAGAAAGGGTCAGGATCCTTCGTGGGGCAGCAAAGGTCCTCCAAACCTGGCTGCGCCCCGGAACCACTCCCCACCCACGTTATCATTTTAAATACCCTTATATCCTGTGATAAATCTAAGCATTCATTCAATGGTGCTGCTGCTTGTACTACTCGAGGCTTTTGGTGCACGTGATCTCCTAAGTAGACGTCTTTGATCAGCTCCTAACACCAGCAGGACCGCGCTCGTGCGTACATTAGAAAGGACCAGGTACAACCAGCACATCAAACTCTGACGAAATTCTGGCTGGCGTAGCTCAGTGGATTGAGCTCAGGCTGTGAACCAAAGTGTTGCAGGTTCGATTCCCAGTCAGGGCACATTCTTGGGTTGCAGGCCACAGCCCCCAGCAACCGCACATTGATGTTTCTCACTCTCTCTTTCTCCCTCCCTTCCCTCTCTAAAAATAAATACATAAATCTTTAAAAAATTTCTGATGAAATTGTCGCTCACGGGGTTTTTCTTCTTTTTTAAGACAACGCCTACGGAAAGACCTTGCGGCAGCACCACGGCTGGGTCGTCCGAGGGGTTTTTGCAGTAAGTAGCCCTTCGGCCTCCTGACATCCTGGGGGTCACGGCGGAGCTGGTTTTGTTTGTTTTGTGTGCGTGGTGTCTCTGTGTGCTTTGTTTTCCCGAGTAAGAAAAACGCGTTGCTTATTTAAGTCCATTGGTCTCTGTTGCATGGAAATGTGGGTGGTAAAAAGTGTCTAGAGCGGAAAAGACTGTTACAGAGTCTGCTTTGCCCCATCCGGTTCCAGGGACCTGCGGAGGTTTGCCTCCGAAGCGGTCGCCTTGCAAGCAATGAGGTGGTGCGGAGTGTCGGTGCAGAGTGGTGGTGCAGAGTGGCGGTGCAGAGTGTCGGTGCAGAGTGGTGGTGCGGAGTGGTGGTGCAGAGGCAGCGTGACAGAACCGCTGGGTTCTATTTCCCGCTGCCGAAAAGATCTGTGGTTCTCAGAGTTTGGTAGAAAGGAAAGGAATTATTTATTTCAAAGGTTTACAGGTTTAGAATAATGGCAGAATTTCGCTATTAAACCCCACTGCCTTTTGAACACCTGTGCACACACCCGCAGTCCTGCCTCCCTTTTGCTAAATCAAGCTGGTTTCAGAATTTGCCAACCAGACACCGTCTCTTAGGGGAAGAAGAAGTCCGCAGCTTAACATGGCTGATCGCAGCTCAGCACCTGAAGCACCACCCCCGTCCCCGTTAACCCGAGCGGGCGTGGCTGGACAGGTCCTGCAGTCCCAGCTCCATCAGCCGTGCAGCCCTGCTCTCCAGCAGTTGGTCCAAAGCCACGTGGCACCTCCTCATGGCGGGCGGCAGGGGTCCTTCTGCACCCTTTCAACCTGCATGGCCAAGGAGCCACTGGCCCTGCCCTTAGTTTAGATATTCACCCTGAGCTCCCATTTCCCATGGGGCTTTCTGCTTCTTGGGCAGGCGAGATAAGCTTCCCCAGCATCCTAGCGGGGTTGGTCAGAGGGGTTTCCTATATTCCTGGGGGCTGGGGGTTCTCAGGCTACGCCCCATTCTGAACCCCACCCCACACCTGTTACAGGGGGTGGGAGCCGCCCAGCGCTCACCACCGAGGGGAGGGAGCCGGCGGTGCCCGCAGGCTCATAGCCCCTCTGCTGCCCGTTGTGTTCGGTTTTGTCCATTCTCACATTCTGATTTTTTTCCCCCTTCGCTGAATTTCATTGAATGCTGACTGAATGGGGTATGCCAGCAGCTAGGGCCAGAATTCTCTTATTGCCCAATTATTTTCATCGTGAAGGTGTCTGTATGCACGTGTTCTGCTCCTGTGCCCACCACTCCTTCCTTCCCAGCACGTCGGCCTAGGATGAGCACACACCCGGGAAACAGAGCCCCCCGGGCAGAGCCCTTAGCCTGTCGTGTGCAGCAGTGGGAGCAGCCGGCCCCTGCCTGTCCGCAGGCGCCCGCGTGCTGTGGCTTCCCGCCCGGAAGAGGTCGGTCTCCGTCCGATGCGGCCAGGAAGCAGCTCGGGTGGGGGGATGCTAGGAAACCTCATAGAGCAGCAGTGTCCTCTGGAAGATGGGGGGATAAAAATAGCCCTGCAGGTGGTGCTTTTTACCGATGAAAAGGATAGGAGACATCATTTGCCTACTTTAGGAACTGTTAGATCATGATTTATTAGGAGGCAGGTAAAGAAAGTGGGACGAATTTACAGTGGAAGAAACCAAACTTCAGTAAAAATGAAATCCTTTCTGAAAGCATGGAGATAAATAGGAGCCGGACCACGGGCAGCTACAAACTGCCCCCGCTTCCCTTCCGAGCGTGTTCAGGGGTCACAGTAATAGCCACCGTGAGCTCTCGGACGCCTGTTGTGTGCTGGGCACTGTGCCAGGCGCTTCACGCTTATTATTTCTGGTAATCCTCAGGATTACCTCCCACTGTTTCATAAATTCAGAACTGCTAATCCCAGTCCCGAAGTCCCACAGTGAGGCCGTGGCAGAGCCCAGGTCCAAACCCGAATGTAGTCTGCAAACACCTGTGCCCATTCCCCGCGTCACAGCCTCCGCAGTGGAGACAGGATGACCCAGACGGCTGGTGAGTCACTAGCGAGCGGATGCCGCTGCGGCATCGCCTCCTGGAGTAAACGCTGCGACGGCTTGCCGGGGTCTGACGGCCACCCCGCTCGCTGAGATGACAAAGCAGAAGAACATCGAGGTGCCCCGTGTGCAGGAAACATGAGTGTGTTATCTTTCAGCGTGAAGGTGAAGGTACATCCCGAAGTATGAATGACCCAAGAGATGTTGTCAACACAGATGCAGCTATAGCAGAAAATGTATCCTAAGCATGAGTCTTCATGGCATTTTCCCCATGTGGAGGAATGTAGACACAGTGTGGTACCTTATAGAAATTATAGAAGAATAGAAGGGGAAAAAATTAAAATTGTCCATATTCTCTTCACTCCATAATAGCCATTATTAACATTTTTGCATTTTACCTTCTTAGCTTTTTGTATACTTTATATATTTAAATATTTCATTTAATTTTATATTATCTAAGTATATAGCTACCTACAAGTATTTATTTTATATCTACATGTTTACATTATATACACAATTATCTTCACTTTGTATGCTTTGTATATACATGTAAATTTTTTTGATGTGTAGCTTGTAATATAATTGTGTATTCTTCCCCCCCACTTAATAGATTCTGCTGTGACCTTTTTTAAATGCCATGAGTCCAGTGAAATAATTGAAAACCATTACTTTTAGTGATTGCACAATATTTCCCTACTATAGAGATACCATAATTTATTTGCTCAACCCTCTGTGTTGGAAATTTAAGCTGTTTCTAAGTTTGTTACTACAGGTAAGATGGCACGTGTTCATACGCATTTTTGACTAAAAAAACCTCTTATTTTGTCATAGGTTCCTAGAAATACAATTGCTGTGTCTAATGCTAACAATTACAGCCACAGCTTAGAATCTGAGCATTTACTGTGCACTGGACATTGTTTTAAGTTCCTCATGTGCGTGAAGTTATTAGTTCAACCCTGAGGCAGGCTCTCTCATTTTCCAAAGTTACAGAGCAAGAACGTTGTGAAGGCTCTCAATATTATTGCCGGTAATTTTTTTGAAGTTGCTGGTTTTTAAGATTCTTCTGCTGCCCACTTTCCAGACTGAACCCAAAGAGGCTGCCACTTTCAACTACTGTGGCAGTAGTTGAAAAGTCGAGAGTCGAGCCCAGGTCTTCTTGACCCGCCCTGTGCTGGGGTCGGTGCCGGGTAACCACCAAGCCTCTCCAGATGCAAAAGCTATGTGCATGGTGGGAGGAGTTGATTCTCAAGGCTTTCAGATTCAAAGAGTAAGGATGCTCCAGAAAGAAACTGTAGAGTGATAATTCAGGATCCCAAAAAGTCTCCCTAGATCTCAGCAGGGCTGGCCCAATGGACACCAGGCGGCCAATTTAAGCGAGCTTAGGGAACGGGTGGTCTGTGAAGGAAGGTTGTTCTAAAAGGCCCCAGAAATCTCCTGTCAGGGCGGCGATGTGGTGTGTGGGTGCGGCTGACAAAGCGCAGAGGCGGTCCCCCACTCAGGTCCGGGCCTGGTCCCTTGTTAGCGATATGACCTTCATCTGTAAAACAGGGACAGAAACTCTGCAGGGTTCCCATACAGATACGCATTAAAGCACAGTGCACACACAAGCAACAAGTATGGGCTCCTTCTTTTTTAGAAAACAGTCAGTCAAGAGTGCAGAGGAAACAGTATCGCATGGGGGGAATAGGAGACACGCAAAGAACCGCGGTGTGAAGGTGGGGCCCCAGCAGGAGAGAGGTGCTTTGGAACGCTGGCCGGGTGGGCACGAGGACTGTGGTAGCCGCGTGCACACAGGTAGGTTCTGACGGTTCAGGGGCAGTACTCTGGATCACACTGTGAACAAAGGGAGCTTTTCTTAGACTCGTTCTCTCTGTATGCCCTGACTTAAAGGCATTATTCATCCTCAAGATGGCCCAAGCACACACATGCTTCTTCGAGCCTTAAGATTATTTGATTTGGTGCTTCAAAAGAATTTGAGAGTCCATGAATTCAAACGGTGCATTCCTGTTTTTTCCTTTTGCTCTGCTCAGCTGTGTGTGTGTGTGTGTGTGTGTGTGTGTTCGCACGTGCACTCGTGCACAAGAGGAAAGCATGCGAGAGGCGTGCCGCACACTCTCACAGGCCGTTCTTTTGCAGCTCGCGTTGAGGGCAGCGCCGTCCTATGAAGATTTTGTGGCCGCATTGAGTGTAAAGGAGGGTGACCACCAGAAAGCAGCTTTCAGTGCCGGGATGCAGAGGGACCTCAGCCTCTACCTCCCGGCCATGGAGAAGCAGCTGGCGATCCTGGACACTTTGTATGAGGTGCACGGACTGGAGAGTGACGAGGTGGTATGACGCCCGCGGGGCCGGCGCCGCCCGCCTTCAGGGAACCGAGCTTGCCGCCGCGTGTTGTCACCCCATTTCTCTCCCGGCGGCAGCCTCAGCCCTCGCCTCCCTCGCCTGGGGGCACGGAGAGGAGGAGGCAAAGCCTAGTGCTTTTACGTATAAGTCTTCAAATGCTTGTATGTGTTCTGTGTGTTTAAAAATCACGGTGCTATATATTTCAGTTCAAAGGGCCTCCTGGAAACCAAATCATAGCTGTTGTATCTACTTGCACCGCAAGTTGTAAGAGCAGATTGGACAGATGAATTTGTTGGGACTGTTTTCTCTTGTTTTGGGCTTTGGGTTCTACCAGGCCACCCAAACCCCAGCTGCAGGTGAGCAGATTCGGTACCAAGGACGACAACTCGTAGCCAGCGTTTCCATCCCCTCGGAATTAATCTGGAGGGAGCGGAGCCCCTCTGCGGAAGCCGTTGAAATGTCAAGTCTGCCGGCCCTCGGCGTTCTTCGGAGAACCTCCTTCTGCGTGGCTCCATGGGCGATGTGAGCCCGTGGGTGCAGGTGTCCTCCAGCGCCCACTCCAGTTCCCGTGCTTTCCCGTGCATGTCGCAAGGGGGCTGCACAGCAAAGCTGTGACTTTCAGGGATTGTTACCCGATTTCAGAAGTGAGGGATTTATGTGCTCAGCGTGACACAGCCTCCAAATAGAGGAGCAGGTGGGGTCCGGACCACCTGCATCAAAAGCACAGGGAGTGCTTGTTCAGAGAGCAGATTCCCGGGCCTCGCCCTGACCTGCAGAACCAGATCACGTGGGTGGGACTCAGGACTCTGCACTTGAATACTTGTCGAGTGATTCTTGTGCACGGAGACTTGAAGAACCAGGAGATTAAATTCTAGTTTACAGAATATCCAGTCTTCTGCATGAACTCAATGATGTGTCCTTTCTTTCAAAGAGGAAGAGGCGGTTGTGGATGCAAAACAGTTCAAGGGAGAAGGAGAAGGACCAGGTTTACTTGGCAGCCTTCTTCATCTAACCAGTGCAGCACCCAGCCGGGGCTGCAGGCAGGCGCCATGGTTCCCCACGTGGTCTCGGAGCCGCCGTGGTGTAGTCGCCAGTCGTGCGCAGCAAGCTAAATGCCGCTGCTCGTCAATCTCATGAGCTTGGGGACCGGGCCACAGTTGACTGCTGGGATGTCAGCCTGTCATAAAACCACCTCGTGTAGGCATTCGCCTGGAGAGAGTGACACGGGGACTGTGGCCCTGGTCTCAGGAGGCCACATCACTAAGAAGATGTGGGAGAGGGGCCACGGGCCTTCCCTGTGAGAGGCCACTTCCTCCAAGTGGCCGGAAGGGCATTTCCATCGTGAGGGGTTCCCCGGGGTAGAAGGTGAGCTCCTTTGCAGAGCACGGGTGAGGGCTGCCTGAGCAGCCCCAGAGGCTGCTGGTCCGGGGCAAAGGGAGCCCCTCCTTAGACAGAGAGGATGATGTCGGGGCAGTGCTGCTTTTGCCTTCCATCCGTCTTTAGACAAAGGGGCATTAACGTAGCTCAAATTAATGGAGCAGCTACTCGGCTCACGTAGGGACTTTCGGAAAAGGCTAAAACACAGAAAAGCAACATCACATGTTTTAAGGCTGGAGAGAAAAACGATGCTAAAATGACAGATTATTTTGTATTTTAGCACTTCCTGTTGGCATCTGCAAAGGGGTGTGTGTGTGCTCCTCCCTCTCCCACGAGTCGTCGGTGTGGCTCTCCCTCTCTGGCTGGTGTGCAAATGAGGGCGGCCCAAGGGGCTCCTGCCCTTGATGTAGCTTGAAAAAACAGCCCACCCTTGCCTGTGCCTTGAGTGAAGACACATCAGACACCCCGTCCTTGGGTCCTTGGGAGGGGATGCAACCAGGAAACGGAGTGTCGCAAAGCAGGACCCTCTCGTCACCTACTGGTGCTCCCTGTCACCTCAGGTGAGCTCGTGTGGGGAGGGAGCGGGCCCCGGAATATACCTCATTTGCCCTTGAAGCTGTGAACACACGCAAAGAAAGCTGCTCAGCGTGGCCGTTTCACATTTATGTAGGTGCAGCCGGCGTAGCCTACCCAGTTTTCTGGGGAAGAAGGGGTTGATATTATCTGGGATCACTGGGAACCCACATTAGGATAATTTGATAATAAGTTCCATGTTCTCCTCACCCTTTTTCCAACACTACAGAAAGGGCCAATGTGTCTTGTTAGGTGTTTTCCTCCTTGGAGCGCATTAAGTTTGCCTCAGATGTGTACAGCTCTGGGAGCCCTTCAATAAAGAGAATTAGAACTTGAACCTCGTACTAGACGGTAAGGTCGGCCTGACCTGGAGGCTGGGCCCAGGCAGAGCTTCCTCCCGGATCTACAGTGTTTGCTTCGCCGTTTTAGTCCGCATCCTGATCCGAGCTAAGCTGCAGTCAGAGTCTCAGAAGGGACAGAGAGAAAAGATAGTAAGGCTTGTACTCTCCACAACCTGCCAAGGTGTCCGGACGCCTGGGCTCTCGCCAGCTCGGACAGCGAGCGCAGAGGAGGCAGGCATCCTGCTCCCGTTGCTCAAAGGTCTCAGGGCCCCTTTCCAGGAGCAGCCTTTTGGGAGATCCCGAGGGAAAAGGGAACGTGACTTCCAGGTATCGGGAGATGCCGTGGGCAGCGTTTGGCTGACCCCTACCAGGGTGCTTCCTGCTCACAGCTGCCTCGTATCCACACCCCTCCCCAAGGAGAAGCCGGGCTTGGGGCTCGGGGGAGAGTGGGGGCAGCGTGTCCCCGTCTGTCTGATGGAACCCAGTCCTGTGGGCGATGGCAGCTGTGGCGTCCCAAGGCGCACTTGACTCCGTATCGCTAATCCTGCTGAGAAAGGTTGGAGGGTTGCCCTTCTGTTGGGGGTGGGGATGGCGTGCAGCTCTGCAGGGAGTTCCGGACGTGGGGCTCAGAACAGCGAGCGGATCCCGTCACGGGGGTTGGCTGGGAAAGGCTGTGTTCATCAGACTGTGAAAGTGTGCGGTCTTCTTTCTTAATTATTCATTGTGTTTACATGTGTGTCCAAAACGTGAATGCTTTCCCTTTGATATTTTGGGGAAAGTTTTTTTTATTTAAAAAAAAATGTGATGGGGACCATTCAGTAAAGTACATTTTTCTTTATTCAATTTGAAGTGAGTACAAGAGCTGAAGGAAGGGGTAGCTTATTAAGGAAATGTAATCTGGTCGTGGGGCGCACACCTGCCAGACAGGAGCAAGAGCGCCAGAGTGTCAGGAGCAGTTAAGACGGTGAGACGTCTTGGAAGCTTTCTGAAGGAACCCTGTGTGTGTGTGTTTTCTACTGAACTATTATACTGTGTCTCACAAGGAGTCGGCGACACGATGGTGCATTTCGGAATCCCTGGCTACAGTCATTGCTTCTGAGTTTAGTCGTAGGTTTTACAACTCTTCAGCTCCACACCCTCCTGGCTCATTTCCTTTCCAGGTGAACTGTCAACCATTGTTAGACTTTCAGATTCAGTGTTTGTAAGTAAGGTACGTTTTAAGCCATTGTTCCGCTGGCTGAGCTGACGGGTCTGGCGAGAGAGCGCCGGCCCTCAGCCGCTCCGGGACCGGCACAGCCCGCCCGCGGACTTCGGGGTGCGGTACACCCGCGTCCTAGGACGCGCGTGTAGGGCTCGGTACTGGGAGAGAGGTCCTGCTTCCGGGCGTCCGTTGGTAACCTGCAGTTGCTTACTCAGGGGTTTCACAATAATGACATGAAATACCCACTAGCTGTCTGATGGGATTGTAAGACTGCTTATCTAGCACAAGGTTGTTAGGGGTCGTTCAAACAGCCGCATGCGCACACTGCGCACCAGCCAGTCTGTGACGGTTCCCGAGCCATCCCGCTGCACAGCGGCAGTCCCCGTGGCGTCCCCGAGCACCGCCGCACAGGGTGCCCTGCGGCACTGCTATGCAGCCACCGACAGGACCGCTGACGCGGACACTGATCTCTGTCCTGCACTGTCCATATCCAGCCTTTCATGGAAAGGGGCACACACACCACTACTCGGCAATGCAAGTGTCCCAAAATTCTCTGGTTACCCTCTGAGTCACTTCTCTTTCAGAGTGACCACCTGCTTTCAGCTAACTTGTGAGAACACAAGAAAGAGATCTCGCTTGTTTTAAGCACATCCTCTCCATTGCCTGTATTCTAAGGTGCGGTCGGTATTTTCTCCCCGGGCTTTATGAACAGATGCCACCCCCGCAAAGCTGGTCTCATCCACGCAGACCCCTGCACGCCCGTCCCTTGTGGGTATACGTGGAGGCAGGGATGACGAGGGGGGCGAGCTAAAAGTAATTTCTGTTGCTTCTCAGAAGGCTCATGAGCCAGCCTCATGGTGCGTTTGGTCTGTGAGTCCCCCGTGTCGTGACAACTTCCCTCGAATGTCAGTGAACAGCCCAACTACCTCATGTGAACTTGGCTGTGGACGATCTGTGTCCGGTGGGACGTGTGTTCAGGCCACTTTGATCTGGTTAAGAGATCGAACAAAATGACGTCTCTGTACAGAAGAAATACGTTAGACCAGATGCCAAAGGCTACAATGTAACATAGGTTTCCTCGGGTTAATTTTTTAGATCAATGTTGAATTCCACCCACAGTATTCTTGTCTCGAATGTCGGTGGTCTCACAGATCCGTGCACTTGGGGTGTCTGTCGCAGGCCGTCCTCGTTACCTGTGCTCGTCCCTCTGCATCGCGATGACAGGAGAAAGCAAGTGTCGAGTGCTTTGTTGGTTTCTTAATTTTGAAGGAACTTTTACTTAGAACATAATGTGTTGGAGCCTTTGAGGACCAATCAGCGAATGAAGATTTCATGTTTCGTGTTTCATGTACAACTCTGTCCAAGTTCTCGTTCTGTAACGTGTGGGGAGGGGGAACGAGGGAGGGTTTTACTTTTTTTGCAAAAATGTTTGAAAACCTCTGTCAGATTTTATATTCGTTAGTTACAATAAACTTATTTTTAAAGTATTTTATCAAGCGCTTCTCTCAAAGATTTCTGTGTAGTTTGTTAAGAGAAATAAGTCCACATCGCAGAACTTCCCTCCCCTAAAGCCTAAAAAATGAACTATCAAACTATATTAAAACTTAAGGAGTGAAAACCACTTAACTTCACCGAGGGAAGGAGCCCTTGTCACTGTGCTTTAACCCCCAAAAGACGGTCCCCAAAGAAAAGGACCAGATTCCCCAGCGAGAATGAAGAGAGCTCCTAATCCTCCTTCACGTTGGGGGAATTTGCAAAATCCAGAATTCTCATTAAAACCTCAGAGTTGGGCAAGACGAGTAGCCTCATCCCTTCCTTCCTCTGAGTGGGGCCGGTGTGTGTGTTCGTGGGTGCACGTCGGGGGAGAGGGTGTTGCTGGGGAGAGATGGGTGAAACAGGACAAAAAAATCCCTGCTCGCCCCTGAATTAGGAGAAGCACTTAAATCCCGAGAGTCTTCTCCCCAGGACGTGGTAGATATGTCTCCCGGGCATTTGGAATTCACTGCGCTGCGGGACTCGATGCGAACATCAGAAGACAGAGCAGAGCCCGGTCCCTGGAACAAAAGCCTGTGTCCCGGGCTCCCCCTCCCTCCCAGGCAGGGCTCGGGTTTGGCCGCTATGCACTGCTCTGGCTGTAATAGCTATTAAAATAAATGGTCTGAACAGGGCCAATGGTCTTAAACACAAGCAAGTTTGAATAAAATGACCTGGCAGCTGCGTCAATATGCTGCAGCCAGCAGAGGGAACAGAGAGATGAACAGAGGAAACCGATGGGGAAGAAGAGCTAATCTAAGAAGCAAAATTCCTAAGGTGGTGTTGTGCTCTCAAAGGACTTCAAAAGAGCGTGAATTCAGTAAAACGAGAGCTCATAATATAAGCTGATTAAACAAGGGAATAAGATAAAAAGGCAGTTAATGGAAACACCGTGATCAAAATAACCCTACTACAGAACAAATAAATGAATTAGTACTAGTGAGAAACATGGTTGAACACAGAATTAATAACAACAAAAGACTCGAGTGACTGTAGAGGGTGAAGAATTTTTTTAAAGATTAAATTAATTCTTGAGAGGGTAGTTATAGGAAGACAAAGATATTCTAACATACGTGTAATTGGCGACCAAAAAGGAACTACGGAAGTATTGAAAGACAAAAGTTTCCTGAAGTTCACCTTCAGGCTGAAAACGTGCCCTGTGTTCTAGGAAACCCGACAGGAAGCCCCTGACACCAGAGCACATGCTGGTAAAGCGAATGGGCAAAAAGAATGGAAAGAGAATTCTTCTCTGTTCGGGCAGGACATGCAAGTCACCAAGGAGTCTGAAACTCCCTTCCCCAAAATTTAGTGACAGGAAACAATGGAGGAATGGATCTCAAGTTCTGAGTGGGAAAAGAGGGACTTAAGTGTATTATTGGCAGCCAAGTTGTCAAATAGAATGTCAGGTGCACTTAAGCACCCACAGGCCCTTCCTAAGGAAACCATTTGATTGGAGAGGTGACTCAAATAACTCAATAATGGAGAAGCCTGTAGTAAAAGCACTGGTGGGAGCATTGAATTTACAAAGACCCAAGGCCGAACTGGGAATTAGAGTTCTGGGCGCATGTTACAAATAGTGTAAACCGTAATAGTCTGATGTAAACTGGAAGTGGTGGGGGGAGGTGCAGGTTATAAGAGTGCCAATCTCATTTTTATAGCAGAGTTGATATTACTGAAAAAAGGAAAAGAAAAACATAACAACCTTATTTTTTTGGTAATTAAAAAAAAACTTGAATGGATTTTTAAATAAATACCTGTTAGGAGAAAGAAATACTTTAAGTTTAGTAATTGTTTGAGTTTATCTTCTTCTCTTAAATGCAAGCAAAATGACATGATAAATAAAAATAAGTATGCCTCTGTTTATGAAAAATATCTTCTACCCTTTCATCACCAAAGAAAAGAAATCAGGAATGATACTCACCTGAAGGTAGTGATGTTTATTTTTAAGTGGGTATCAATTTTGTTTTACTCTTCTCTTTGTACTTTACCACGGTGCTTGACTTCTGTCTTATAACCATGCTATCTTTTTATTTTAAAACAGGGCAGGGCGGGGTGGGTATTCGAAAACCAAAGTTAAAAAGCAGTGTATAGTGTTGGTGGCTCGCCGGCATGTGCTGCTGCTTGTGATGACATTTGCTTTCCATTAAATGTTTAACTTAATCTCACCACACTTCCCTTTTCCCCCCACTGGTTACTTTTCACTCATAAGCTTCTGGTCCTTTACCCACACGAAAATATTACTCAACCCATTGTCTACACCCTGTAAGTGTTGCCCTCGTTTATGGCAAACGGGGAAAACTGAACACCCGTGTGAGACCCAGTGACTTGCCCGGCACATCCGAAACCGATGGAAAGGTGGGAAAAGCAGCTCTCTGGACTGGCTGGCTGACTGTCGTCTTCGCAGAGGAAGCCAGAAAGCCTCAGCAACAAGGGGATTTTGCACATGAATTGGCTGCACTCCATCTGAGGAGCTGAAAGGGTTCTTTCTCTGTGCTTCTGTGAGTTTGGAAATGAGATGTCAGCCTCTCCGCTGCCCGCTGCCCGAGTGAAACTGCTGGGCAATAGAGCTGTCGTTCGGTATGAGCTTATGCCGATCAGACCCAGCTGCAGCCACGCGGATGAGCTCAGTGTATTCAGTGAGGCTTTGTCGTAAGGCCGTTCAGGATTATGTCTGTGGAAACCCAACGCTCTACTGGGGCGTGTGCGGGATCAACTCGGGACCCTCTCTCCCTCTCCGTCATTCGCACGGAGAGTTCTGTGGAACCCCACACCCTTGACTTCATTAGTATAAAAAGAGCACCACTGGGTCATAGAGCCGAAAGACGCCATCCGTTGTTGTAGAGGTCATGATAGCTGTGGCCAAAACCTCAGATCAGGAAGTGTCGAGCACAGGGGAAGAATTCCAAGAATGGCAGTGGCGGTCATATTAATAGTTGTTACTGTTATAAAGGGAAGTGTAGCTCTGTCATGCCTGGACTTCCCCTGCTGAGTATGCATTTTCTTCTTTGGGCCCCTTGCCCCCGACCTCATGGAGGATTCACTGTTGCCCCCAGGGCAGGCTCCCCCCTCTGCGTGGAATGTCTTGCCACCTTCAAGGAGAAGGCCTCCACTTAATCACCTTTCCAGCCGACACTCTCTCTCCTGACCTCAGCCCTAGAGCCAGCTGGGATACTTCACAGCTGTCTCCCAGCTAGAAGATCCCAGGAGAACGGCTAACTGCGCATCAAGGTGGACCCGACACTTTCCAGAGGAGCCCTCCTGCCCCACCTCAGAAGGCAGCTAATGTATTTTTCTGCCCTGACCTCCTCTCCCCTTTTTCTACACACTCGTTTCTCAGCGTGACTGTCCCTTTGCCACTCTGAGCTCTGGTTGGACAGCCTCTGACCACAGCAGTGGCGTGTGCTCTGGAATAGGTACCCCCAGGACTTCCCCAGGACTGTGTACTGGGACACTGGGAGAGAGCATCACTGTTGTGAACTGCGTGCTTGTGAACACCCAAAGTGCAGGTGTGGGAACTCCAACGCCCAGCGGAATATTAGTAGGTGGGGTCTTTTGAAGATAATTAGGGGCAGATTAGGTCATGTCTGAGACAAGACAGAGAAGTCCTAAGATAATTTTAAGAGGTGTACTATGTTCATGAATTAGCAGATCTGATAGTGATAGAATGTCTCCGACGTGTGTTTTGTTTTTTTTTATTTTCACACCACTGGGCAATTCTCCGATGCTGAATGGAGTCCTAAAGTCAACTCAGTTAAATCCTGACTCTGTTACCTTGGGAAAGTCAGATTCCACAGGCTCAGGGCTCAGTCCTACACAGACAAGACTGATGAAATCGTTGGTCATTGGTGACTGAGCTCAATCACCAACTCACCTCCGTCCTGGAGGTTAGGGGTGGGGACTAAAAATTTCGCCTCTCAAACACATGGCTGTGTTCCTAGCAACCAGCCACCATCCTTAGGAGCTTTCCAAAAGCCACCTCATTAACAGGCTCAGGTGTGGTTGAAAGAGGTTCATTACGAATATCAAGATGCCTTTATTGCTCTCTCAAATTAGGAAATTCCAAGGACTTTAGGGTCTCTGTGCCAGAAATGGAAGACCAAATAAATATTCGTTATAATTAATAATATTACAATGTCAGTTCTTCCAAAACTAGTCTAAAGACTCAGTGCACTCCCATTAAAAATAACACAGAGATATGACACCACAGCAATGAGCAACAAAAGAAAAAGTAGATACATTAGACTTCGTCAATATTAAAAACTTTTGTACATCAAAGACACTGTCCAAAAGTGAATATGTAAACTACAGCATGGGAGAAAACATTTGCAAACCATGCATCTAATAAGGGACACGTACCCAGAATATACAAAGAACACATAACTCAACAACAAAAAGACAAACAACCCTATTTAAAAATAGACAGTTCTCCAGAAAAATATATAAATGACCAGTAAACACACAAAAAGATACCAAACATCATGAGTCCTTGGAGAAATGCAAGTTGAAGCAACAATGAGATACCTCTTCACACCTGGTGGGATGACTAAGGAAAAACAAAACACGAAGACTAGCAAGCGTTGGTGAGAATGTGGAGAGATCAGAACCCTCATGCATTGCCCGGAGGAGTGTACGATGTAGCAGCAGCTACATGGAAACAGTTTGGCAGTTTCTTGAAACGTTAAACGTGGAATTGCCGTATGTCCCAGCAGCCCCACTCCCAGGTGTGGGCCCAAAGGAACTGGAAGCAGGGACTTGGACAGACACTCGTATGCCGATATTCAGTGCAGCATTGTTCACAGTAGCCGAAAGGGGAAAACAACCCAAGTACCTATCAACAGATAAACTGATGCACAAAACGTGGTTTCCACAAACTGCGGATTATTCAGCCATGAAAAAAG